GGAAAGTCATCCATGGGGACACGAAGGAGCTACATAGCGTGAGAAGCCTTGCTCTGCTCCAGCATTACGTAGCAGAAAGGTTCTGGGAGAAACAGCACCGATACAATAATGCTACAGAGATTCTCTATATACTACTATTCTACTATAGCATTATCAGAAAACGTGCATTTACGAGTAGTTCAAAAATTGAACTTCAATTCGAATGAGCAGATAGTTATGTAGACGAAGGCCTCTAATCCCTTCTTCTCAGTCTTTCATTTCCCATATCCCGGTAATGCTAGCACTTCCTGTATTCATGGAGTTCATTGGAGACACAAGTGCAGTGACCAACTGATGGTCTGATGAAACACAACTGATGATCTGACCACTGCTTCAGCGAACGCAACTCCGACATAGTTCAGAAACACAGTCATGCGACGTTGGTCCTCGCCCATACCCCTCGAGGTTGGGATGAGGAGGAGGTCCCCTCACTAAGCAGCTGCAGTACATCCTGACTCGAGCTCCCAAGAGAGACTAGCGCCCCTGCCAAGCGGCCCTTATGAGTGTAGCCCAGCCCGACTACGCTCGCGGCCCGCACTCGGATCGCCCTCTCAAGAACTACAAGAGCGTCTGTTCTACCCAATTTAGCGCAGGCCGAGCCTATCTTCACCAAGTCGTCACCAGAAGCCGCCGAAGGACCGTCCCAAAGCATTTTGATGACGCCTCCAGCGAAGTCATGGACCCAAGGAGAAGTACTCAAGTTGACCACCGTAGTGAGAGCTGACAGCATGTTCGCTACCTCGCTGAGCTTCCATTTTACACCTTTTTCATCAGAAAGCACATCAGCACACGCCTGTCCCACAGCGTTCCAGCACTCAGTGTCCACCTGAACGTCCGACTTCCACAACGCATAAACCAACACTGGTAGGGTCTCCATCTTCGGGCGCTGCTTGGCTATCAGAGTTTTGATTCTCCCACCCAATGCGGCTCCTAGAGCTTTGGGATCCATCACCGTAGTCTGATTCTTACCATAACTTTGCAAGATCAGAGTGACCTGTTGCCAATCGTCGAGCCCCTCTACCACGTTTTGAGCCCTTAGCCATACACTAGGCGGTACTGGCTGCTTCAAGCGAGTCAGTCCGTGAGCTATGAGGGCGACCTGCATACCGCTGAGCCCCCCAACCAACGGAGGGATCACCTCTTCCACTAGTTTGGACAATAGCCGCTCATGGGCAACTCGGCCCATAGCGTAGCTGTTGATGCAAAGAGTAAGGCTTTTGGCGTCCCAGGCCTCCACAGGGATCCTGCGCAGCTCTCTAGCGCATCCACACAGTACATCCACTGTAGCCTTGCCGACCTGTCCGCCTCTAGTGTAAGCATGCGCCACTGCTACCAAGTCGGGGAGTTCCAAGGAGTAGAGTATCTTCCCAACCCACGGCTCCAAGGCAATCAGAAGACTCCCCACGTGAGAGCTCTGCCGCTGCAACCTTCCCAGGGAATGGATCAGTCCCATTACCTCTACAGTGGACATGTTGAAACTGTCCTTCGACCCACACCGGGCCTCCAGTTCCTCACAGATGCTCATCAGGAGTTGCCCTACTTTTAGAGACTTGGGCAAGGCCTCTTTAACCATCAACACACTGGCGGCCGCAAAGGCGTGACCAAGCACGCCAACCTCCATTGCCTTCAGGCTTCGACGACCCAGAGCTAAAATGCTCCCAAGGACCCCAGCAACCTCCT